TTGGCTGGATCCAGCTTATTTAGTTCTGCTAAAACTAACTGCGGAGTGAAAAATACTGTGCTTATAAGTGGTTGGTTGGCGGGCAATGGAAGAGAACAGGACTGGAGGGGTGGTTCCGTGGTGTAGACACTTTGGAAAAACGCGCAAAGAAACTCGGCTTTTTTCAAGATTAGGTTACTCTGTTGATCACCCAACATTCTGATGTTTTTCGTTGAACGAATTGCAGTATGAAGTTTTTGCCAGAAATTAAAACCCCACTTTAGGTTAAGGTACGCGAAGACGTCTTTTCTCGATTCACACGACCGAGCGCCTGTCGAAATTACTAATGGTCGTAACCTCGAGAAGACAGAGCTTATTTTCGATGCAAATGGATTTTACTGAGCTGGGTTTACGCAGCACTGACCCAGATATTTTTCTGCAGAACCAGCTCGTATTAATGACAGGATGGGAGAGTCTTGTCCTGACATTCACACAAAGGTTCATCAAATGGTCGTCGAAAATAGTTTCAAAAGATACCCTAACAAGTATCTTTTAAAAGCCCGGACACAAGTGTCTCGGGTTTTTAGTGGATGTATAATGCTATTATGATAGGTGCAGTTAATCATATAGTCCCCCAACATTCAGATGTTTTTTGGTTTCCAAATGGCAGGGCAAAATCTCTTCAGAGACTCTTAACCGGATTTGGGTAATAGTACTCGGGTTAGGACCTTCTCGGCGCATATGACAGTATATTTGTCGAAATTAGCGACACACATTACGTAGAGAATGAGGAGCCCAGCGGCATGCTAAGTGGGTTTAAATAAATTAGAGTTGTGCAGTAATGACACAGCTATCTTTCCACAGAACCACTTTGCTTCAATCACAGAAGACGTTCGAATGGACTGAACACAGGTTTCGATTAACTGATTCGCCAGTCGTTCGGACACGTCTCTCGTATGCCAATAGAAGCGAAGAGACAAGTCCCAGGAAGAAGTCTTGAAGAAGGAGACACGATCGCTGGGATAAGAGCTTTATGAGCCTGACGTTTCGGGTTCCTGCTCGAACCCATCATCAGAGATGACAGCAGATACGGGTGATTCATGCACCAGAGGTTGCAGTATTTATAGGATACAGTCACCATGCTACCACATTCCTGTGAACATTCACTGCTCCCACTTCATCCGGGATCGTTGCACGTGGTGTGTTAATTGCTTGATGGCCGACATTCGCGTCGTTAGTTGCTGCAATTTCATCACGTGCGTTGGATGTCGGTGTGATAATAGCTCGACCATCTGACGCATCGATCCTGGTGTTGGGAGAGCAGGAACCCGAAACGTCAGGCTAATAAAACTCTTGTCCCGGCGATCGTGTCTTCTTCTTCAAGACTACTTCCTGGGACTCGTCTCCTTGCTTCTATTGGCAATGTATTTGGGTGGGAAACGCTCCGATCGGCCCGGCGATGGAAAACCTTCGCCCTTCGGGAGGCCTCAACGTATTCGCAGATCCGGTTTCTTCACAGATGTCTCGACAATAATGTGTTACCGAAATGTGTTTCATACAAGCCCCTGGTTACCACGGATTTGGCGAGAAGAACGTTATTTCAGCACGACAGAAGGATGATCCGTGTGCTCCTCCAAGATTGTCATGCGAGATTTCGCAAGTACCGTCAAAGGATTGACCAAGAAAAGACCACATGCTGTGAGTTCATGGACGAGATTGATACAAATCTGCTCCTGTAGAGGGGTGACTGAACACGCCCGCGAACAGAGAATGTTACGTGACGCAGCACTGGAGAACAAATTTCGAAAGCTGCCCAATCCAACGTCGCCCAGAAACGTCAAAATGGTGTGCAACCTGTCATCAAAGGAGCTGACGAAGTATCCGATGCAGGTTTTATGACACGAAGCTTCATTTGACACGACTGACGCCCAACCTGTTAACATGATTGCAGCAGTGGAATCAACCCTTTGTCAGTCGGAGACAACGGGGGAGACTAGGAGCCTCATCCGACACCAAGTGTCGTTTCTCCTGATGGCCCACAGGCCGCGGGTAGTGCTTTCCAAGGTCGAACGTGGTGCGCTTAGAGAACTCAAGGCCGACAAAGACCTGGTCATCGTGCCTGCGGATAAGGGGCGCTCCACAGTTGCACTGGACAGGAAAGACTACCTTCAAAAAGCCAAAGGTTTACTGATGGACCGACAGTTCTATGTCTCATGTGCAACTAATCCTTTAAAAACGCTGACACGCGAAATTAACGCTACGTTGATGGCCTTGGAGAAGTCAGGTGCAATAACACCGACCGACAGACGCATGGCGAGACCCCAAGATACGGCTTCGGCCCGATTCTATGGTCTCTCTAAGGTGCCAAGGACGGCGCTCCTCTCCGACCCATCGTTTCGCTCAAAGGTACTTCAACGTACGGACTGACAAAATGAATTTTCCGGCGTCTCAAGGTCCTGACCGCTGAGTCAGACACCACGGTCTCTTCGTCAGCACAATTCCTGGAGAAACTCAAAGGGGTAAGCCTCCATCCAAATGAGGTCATGGTATCTTTTGATGTTAAATCCCTTTTTAATTCTATTCCCCAGAATCTGGCGATTGAAACAATCGAGCTGCTTCTACAAAGCAAATACGATGAAACGGAAAATCGTCTTGGACACGCCCAAATCATTCAGCTCCTGAAGCTCTGTCTCAGGACGTACTTCACGTTCGACTGGACAATCTACGAGCAGGTGAAGGGCACATCAATGGGTTCGCAGATTTCGGGATTCATCGCCGAGGCGGTCCTGCAACGGTTAGAGTCGCTGGTCTTCCAACGCCACAAACAGAAGTTCTGGGCCCGGTATGTGGATGATACCTTCGTCTTGATCGAAAGGGATCAGTTGCTGACATTCCAAGAACATCTCCACGCTGTCCTCCCGGACATTCAATTCACAATGGAGGAGGAAGACCACCCAATCAGCCACAAACGCAGTTGTGTAAGGACGCTCTATCGGCGTGTCGAAACGCACTGCAGTGAGCCGTAAGACAAGATTGCTGAACTGCAATACCTCCGACGGGTATTCAAAGCTAATGGCTACCAGCGCAACTTCGTCAACAGGTGAGTACGCAAAAGGGACAAAAGGCCTAACCGCACGGACACCAAATCTTGGCGGGCGCTTCCGTATGTCAAGAACGTTTTGGAAGCTGTCAGCCGCCTTCTCGCACCACTTGGGGTTGGAGTGGCACACAGACCAGTGGCAACTATCAGGCGTTAGGTAACGAAACCGAAACACCCAGCGCCACGGCAAGAAACGACGGGAGTCCTTTATCGGATCTGGTGCAGTTGCAGACAAAGCAGTTACGTCGGAGAAACCGGAAGATAGCTGCGAACGCGAATGGCCGAACACGCTGTAGCGGTACGGAGAAATGACGCCAGCTCTCAAGTTGCGGCTCATTCGACGAGACCTGCCCACACATTCAAATTCGACGAGGCCGAAATTCTCGCAAGAGGTGACAGCTGCGTGGGCCGGGAGCTACTTGAATCATGGTTCACTGGCCTCCAGTCCATTAACAAGTGCAATGGACTTCCCCTTCCATATTGGGTGCTGAGACTTCGCCTGGACGGAGTAATTAGCCACGCTGGGAGCGCACAAGTGAGCACTTTTCCCAACGCCAGGGTCGGTGGATCAGATGGTCGAGCAATCATCACACCAGCATCCAACGCACGTGAGGAAATTGCAGCAACTAACGACGCGAATGTCGGCCATCAAGCAATTAACACACCACGTGCAACGATCCCGGATGAAGTGGGAGCAGTGAATGTTCACAGAATTGTGGTAGCATGGTGACTGCATCCTATAAATACTGCAACCTCTGGTGCATGAATCACCCGTATCTGCTGTCATCTCTGATGATGGGTTCGAGCAGGAACCCGAAACGTCAGGCTCATAAAGCTCTTATCCCAGCGATCGTGTCTCCTTCTTCAAGTTTAGGTTACTCTGTTGATCACTTAACATTCTGATGTTTTTCGTTGAACGAATGGCAATATGAAGTTTTTGCCAGAAATTAAAACCCTACCTTAGGTTAAGGTGCGCGAAGAAGTCTTTTCTCGATTCACACGACCGAGCGCCTGTCGAAATTACTAATGGCCGTAACCTTGAGAAGACAGAGCTTATTTACGATGCAAATGGATTTTACTGAGCTGGGTTTACGCAGCACTGACCCAGATATTTTTCTGCAGAACCTGCTCGTATTAATGACAGGATGGGAGAGTCTTGTCCTGGCATTCACACGGATGGTTCATCAAATAGTCGTCGAAATTAGTTTCAAATGATAACCTGACAGGTGTATCTCTGATGATGGGTTCGAGCAGCAACCGGAAACGTCAGGCTCATAAAGCTCTTATCCCAACGATCGTGTCTCCTTCTTCTTCACGTCTCTCGTATGTCATAAACAGGCAGATGGGTTTGCAGACCATGAACGGGCTTCGTGAATTAGGCTTGCTGAAACCTGATTTCTAATCTTGAAGTTGGCAACATTTACATTACGGTTTTATGACGGCGCGACAGATAAAAGTGCGTTAGTGAAGACGGCTGATGAAAAATTCACTGAATTTTCCTGTTTAGTATACTATACTAGTATAATGCTGAGATAGGTCTAAGGGATGCAAAATCGGACGCATTTGATCAAACATCCTCTGTCTCGTCTCACCTTTGTAACCTTCGTTTTCTCCTGACATGTCTTTTAAAACATTCTGCTTCCTAAACTAAGAACTCACAGAGCTCTGCTATAAAGACTGGGTTGCAAATGACCTAGATTCCTCAGTAAGTGTGTTAACATTACCTTAATAAGCCTCTCTGAATCAGAATACAACAATAACAAGAATAATCATGGAACCCTCGGTTAGATCGGCATTGCCATAAACATGTTTGCTTAAGTCTGCTACTAAAACTCCGAAAGACAGAATAGACCATGATATAAAACCATTCCAGCGATATCTCAAATCCCTCTTAGAAGGAAATGAGAAAATCGCCGTCCTAAATAACTTCAGGATGAGCCAAATAAAAGAACTCGGAGGAAGCGTCGATTTAACCGTGACCGCAATGCGGAGTGAGGATAAAGCGCAGCTTCTGCCAAGCGCGAAACCAGCATTCCTAAACCTCTCCCAAACAGTTTTTCAGCAAGATGTATCGCCCCTAGAACGGAGAATTGGAAAGAACTCAAGGCAGAACCCCTCTGGAGATCCGGCCTGAACGATGTCAATCCCAAACTACTTACGAAGAAGTTATTCATGTACAAAGGTTATTTCTCTGGAGAAAGCCCACAATTCTCACAACTTAGGCGCGATGAACATCATTTCGCCTCAGTCTGCACCAGCAGGGTTTTGCATCAAATCCGACGGAATTGGTAGACGCTTATGTCGCAGAGCTACTTAGGTCAAGGCGACTTCTGTCCAGAATATCATCATCATTTCGGACACAGACCAGCTCATGCAGTCGGTTTTAGAAAGACGTCCGGGTGTCGTTGCCATAACAGAAACATTGCTCCAAGCCGAAATAATGGATGCCAAGATTTCGATGGAAGGATGTCAATCCTCTGGCCGAGACTGTCGGAATAGACTGGGTGGTTGGATAGTCGTAAACGTGATATCAGAACTTTTGACAGATGAACGCACACACCCTCTTCACCTAGTATATGAATCCATTCGCATGAACATAAATAGGAGTAAGTCACAAAACCCGGGATTCTTGACGGTTTATAGATAACCAAACCAGCCGAATGCCGCAGACGAGTTAGTCCTGGAAGTGACTGGACAGTAAGAGGTTCTTATTGCTGGGGGTTTAAACGAAGCCGCAATAGGTTGGGAAAAGTTGGTCAATGACAGCGCGTTTAGCTGAAAGCTGATGGACCTCACATTCGACCTTCCCCTTGCACAGAATGTAAAGTTCTCACGAGGTTTGGATAGATCCAAAGGCCAGTTGTCTGGGTCTGGTGCTCACGAAAATTTTCTCTAGCATTGATGAAGCGTATTTCAATGCACCTCTCGAGAAGAGTGGCCACACCACTCTCTTGTGGGATTAACCATTAAATTTTCAGAA